CGACGCCGTCCTTTAACTATGTAATAGAATATCAAAATGCAAGTAGTGTAACGACATCTAGTGGGTATTTTTTGTTACTAAAGTATTTCGTGCGTTAGACCAGGCATTACTAAGGTATCAAGTTAGTTTACTGAATAAATTGATCAATAAATTTCTTACAAAGAACTTAGTAGAGGTTTTTATTAGATAATAGAATATCCATACATTCGGTTCTTAAATCCCCACTGGTGTGTAATATAATTTCGTTCAAACAGATGATAAGCGTCAGTATACTGATTGATTCTATAGTGTCACCGTTGTACATACTTAACGTTTTTATGTTCATTTAAACGTCTCTGGCTTGATACTCATGCCCATAAGCCTTTGAAAAAGATCCCAAAATTAGTAGTTCTTTTGCTTGCTGCTATTTTGACATCGCCTGACGTGTCTACCTAATTTAAATTTGAATAGCTTTTCCCAATATACGAGGGTGGATTGATAAGTTTCCGGCCTGACCAAGAAAAACAAGGTTTTTAAAAATTTTTTTTTTTTATTTCTCAACATAATCTCCTCCAAGGCTGATACATTTCTCATAGCGGTGTNCTATAAGAAACGACAGCATCAGCAATTGCAAACTGATAAAAGATCTTTGGTGAACAGAATATGTATTTTAGAGAATAGATACACTATGTATTTAGTTTTTGTTAACTCTATACGAAATAACAAACCAGCTTCTATCTACCTTCTAAGTTATACGATTCTATTTTCTATTTTTGTGTTATGTTACGTTCTAATACCTTGTTTATTAAAATTAAATTCACATGTCAGTTACCATTAGTAAACATATTCATGTCCATTGCTGTAGGTAAAGATCAATAAGTAACGAAATCTCCATATGGATGTAGCAGGTAACCCTGCTTTTCGATTTGCTGATAGTATCTAATGCTAATTGAGCAGTTAAATTAATTTTTACCATTAGATTATCAACATGTAAAGTACATGTAGGTATACGTGTGCATGGACATCCATGATGATGCAATTTAGCGAAGCGAAATCGTCCATCCATCTTTCTATCGGATCTAATAAAGGTATATACTAATGGTATGGTTTTCGTGTTGCAACATCGGCGAAAGAAATCGGAGGGGGCCATGGGTCTCGGTCGTTACGCCATATATTTGAGGTCCGCTAATGATTGACAGCTTCTGGCCTGCTTGATTGTTGTTTATGTTTTGTTTAAGTATGAATTATTGACTTTTTGACAGGTGCGCATTTGGAAACGTTCTCCTCGTAGTCGATAACCTGTAACTAAGGGTACTTACTGCGTTTTTTTGAAATTGTAGCTTTTATTTGTGCCTACCCCGGGGGCCTTTGCGGTTTCTACGCTTTTAATAAAAGCTCCATCGTACAAAATTGTTGTTCGTGGCCACCTGCGATTTATCACGAAAAACTGGAAACAGCAGTAGTCCAAATTCCAATAATAAAAACATTAAGTGGTCGAGAAACTTGGCATTTAGATGTACTGTTTTGTAGTAAGGATTTACTTAGCATACGGAAATGTGGGGCAAATAAAAACACTTATCGAAAGTTACCTAAACATTAAAACACGGATTGTATTAAAAGAAAGCAAGATATCAAATGGATGCTACCTTGAAACTATTCGCACCATAACCTAACTTGAGGCCTTATGCACTAAACATTTTTCAATTAAATCATCATTATCATCATAAAGTCGTCAGTCCTAAGTCTGGTTGGACACGTACCTCTATTCTTTCCTACCCTGAGCTAAACTTCGCATTTCCCTAAAACTAGAACATCCCACATCCTTAACTATATGCGAACAGTAATCTAACCTAGATCTACCTCTACCCCTCCTAACTCCCGTTTCTACCTCTAATATGTTTCTGACTAGACCTTCATGCCTGAGAAGGTGTCCTACCAACCCAGNGGAGTGTACGGGTGAAATCTGGGTCCTTCCAGAGCGACTAAGTCCGTTCGCTGATGATGACGGTACCATGTTGGATCGCAAGGATAACGAGCTCCTGGGGGTGGAGAAGAAGGATATGTTGGGGTATGCGGAGGTGTTAAGAGAGTGTCAGAAGATTCTTGTTTGATTTCCGTAATTTTTGGTGGAAAACTTTGAGGAAATCCTGAAAAATCAAAGATCCAAAATGAGGATCCCCATCGAGTAAAACCAACCAAAAGGAATATTTCTAGATCTAATTAAGGTCAATTACTTATCAAAAAGTTTAAAGACAAATTAATAAGATCTAACAGTACGGAGATAATACCTAAAGGTTATCTATCGCAAATACTGGAAAATAACCAGATGCTTGTTCCGCAAAAACTTTTAGAGAAAAACAGCTATGGGTAGTGCCTAAGGCTCTCATAGGCTTCCTATCTAGCTACTTGTCCTATTACAATTGGTTGGAATATTTTCCTTTTGGGTTTATAAAATTCTGAATCTTTTCTACATCGGGAAATTATAAAAAAATTCCGATGCTTACCTTGATTCACTTTCATAATCCCTATGGTGCTCACATATTCACTTAAATTGGCCATGCTACACAAACAGACAAGTTAGAGCCTACGTATTATCACTCAGAGACAACACTAGCACAACAAAAACAAGTACAGTCACTTGAACAAGTAGAATATTAGAACAAATCTCGTCGTTGACAGTCAACTATCAACAACAGCTTGCTTTGATAAACTGGCCTGCTACTCTGGGCTACTAGAATCAGGGTAGTCTTGGTGGTGGCAATTATAGTGCGCGTTTTTTTTAAACAAAACGTTTTTCAAAAAACTAAAAATTATAATAATTAGCGAAATGAACGTAACGTTTTGTTTTTCACTTAATTATGTTTTTGGTTACATAGGAAATTAAATTTCAATTAAGTAATTTACTCAAGAAATATGTTCAAAATTGGTGGAGGCGCTTGGCATATTTTAGATATCCCAATAGGTTTAATGATAATAACATCATTAAGAAACACTAAACTTACAGATTACAAATACATTATTTTAGGACGTCTTTTATCAATGGTTTTGACAATGTTACAATTTTCTTTATCAGATGAAACAGGCAAGCAAAGGTAAAGATGAGTATCTAGCGCGAGTTGCGGAAAGCTTAAGAATCATCAATCAGATGGCGCAAGCCGTCGGGTAGGATAGTATGAACGCAGAGCCGGACTCCACAAATTATGTTGACGATAATGGTACCTACTAATCCGTATTAAAGATAAAATTGATTAACCATATTTTACAATATATGTTAATATTATTGAAATGTTTATACATTTGTACTCATTAAAGTTATTTAAATATTTTTAAAAAAAAAGGC